CCACAATACTTGTACTGTTGGTGCCATCTGACACCACTGAGCGAGGAAGCTCCTCCCTGCCTGCTTCCCTGGAACCTGGGCGTTATCTGCCTCCCCCCCACCCCCCACCATCCTCATCCTGTGAATCACTAGAAGCAGCTGCCATCTCTTCTCTTTTCCCATCATTCGGGACACACCTCTCTCCAGGATGTTCCTCACTGGGCTGCCGGCCTCCAGCTTTGCTCCTCTCTCGGGCATCCCTCACTGAGCGGCTGGACTAATGTGCGCCCTCTCGGTGAAATCCAAGTGCCGTAAGGGGCCAACGGGGCCTGCTGGGACCTAGCCCCCGCCGCTTCCTCAGCCTCGGTCTCGCCACTCCCCTGCCTGCGGTGTGCTCCTGCCTGAACTTGACCGTGCCCCATCCTCTCTGGGCCCTCGGCAGCTGCTGTTCTCAGCCTAGCACAGTCCTCCCGTCCTCCTCCACCTAGCCCACTGGGAAGTTTCAGATTCCAGCTTGTCCCTTTCCCTGCAGCCCTCAGCCAGGCCTGGCTCCTGCTGACGCGCGGGAGACCTGAGCACCTCACTTCCCCTGTGGTCTTGCAGCGAGGTAAGCATCTTCCTTCTCCCGAGACTAACCTGGGAACGGCCTCCAGGGCCTAGGACGGTATCTGCCGTTCTGTGGGCGACTTCACAACAGCGTCCGTATAAATTAAATAGCAGACAGTAAAATAAAGTGCTGTCTTACACATCTCTCTTAATTCCTTTTCCCTGGGCTTTGATACTGTTGGTAAAGTAGCATCAAACATTTTAAACAGAAAATCTTGGTAGTACTGATGGCAGCAGCTTTCCTTGGCTGATGGACCATCAGCTCCTTGCGCCCTGCTCGCTCATTGTTTCTCACCCCCCTCCCAAACTATTCATCATCTCTTCTGACTTGCTGTACTAAGTTTCTATGTGTTAATATTTTTTTTAAAAAGTTACTTTTCAACTACTTGGAAGGTAGAGCAACAGAGAGAGCAAGCTTCTGTCTGCTGGTTCACTTCCCAAATGCCTGCAACAACCAGGGCTGGGTCAGGCCAAAGTCGGGAACCCAGAACTCCACCCACGTCTCCCACACGGGTGGCAGGAACCCATGCACGTGAGCCCTCGTCTGCTGCCTCCCAGGGTGCATCAGCAGGAAGCTGGATTGGAAGCAGAGGTGCTGGGATGTAAACTGACACTCCAACACGGGATGCAGGTGGCCAAAGCCTTAACCTGCTGCGCCATAAAGCCTGCCCCTGAGCTAACGTTGCTATTAACCATTGCAGATTTTTCTGGAAGCAAGCAAGGAATATACACAAGACGTCACCATATCATGATGTTAGCAGTACTGTAGCACGAGCATTTACAGTCTATTTTGCTGTTTATATACTTTATGGCATGTGAGAGACACACCTTACAAAAGTAATCTGAATTCAACTTGCATTTAGACATCCTCTGAGAATTCATGATGTATCAGGCACTGAATCTGAGAATTCAGCATAGCAATTAGACTCTGGATTATAGGAACCCAAGTTCAAATCCTGGCTCGGCATACAATGTATGAATTTGGGCAAATAACTTAATTTCAGACAGTGTTCTAAATGATGGAATACAGTACTACCCACCTGGGAAAGTTGTGGCGAGGACTGAGAAGGATCATGTGCATAATGCATTTAGCAATGTGCCCGACACCCAAATATCCCAATAGAAAATTGAGTATTGCTGTTAAAAATCTGTATAGATAAGAGACTGCCTCAAACTTTAGAGATGGTGTTAGGGACTTACCTCAACTTTTTTTATTCAAATCTTTACATTCTTGCACTAAACAATCTTTAGACCCTTAGAATAAGTAAAAAGCCTATGAAAAACAGACAAAAATCCTATTGGAACAATCTAACAAACCCTGCAGACAAGCAGCACAAGGGCCCCAGCTCTCTGATCTGGTGGTTGGGTTGTTCTTCTGTAGCCTGGACTCGATTCTGGGGAGAGAAAGGCCCAGGGGGATGCTTTGGGGATGCCAGCCCTAGTTCCACCCAAAACCTCTTGAAGCTGGAACTTGCTAGGGACAGGTGTGAAAAAGCATGATGAAAAAACAACGCAGGTGGGGGCTGGCGCTGTGGCGTAGCAGGTGAAGCCACCACCTACAGTGCTGGCATCCCATATGGACACCAGTTCGAGTCTCGGCTGCTCCACTTCCGATCCAGCTCTCTCTTATGGCCTGGGAAAGCAGTGGAAGATGGCCCAAGTCCTTGGGCCCCTGCACTCATGTGGGAGACCTGGAAGAAGCTCCTGGCTCCGGATTGGTTTAACTCCGGCCATTGCAGCCATTTGGGGAGTGAACCAGCAGATGAAGACCTCTCTAATGCTTTCAAATAAATAAATAAATCTTTTAAAAATTTACATATCATAAAATTCACCCATTTCAAATGAAAAAGTCACCATTTGGAAGCTTACTGGGTTGCATGCCCACCTTTCCTGCTTCCCTAAGACCCCTCAGTGCCCACGTCACTCCCACTCCCTGTGCCAGCCTCAGGAGGTCGCAATCTACCGTCTACACTTTTGCCTTTTCTGGCCAGGTCACAGTAGCGACCGTCCCTCGTGGGTGGGCTCTTCATGCAGCATGATGCTTCTCAAGTTCATTCATTGTGCGAAGCATGTATCGGCAGTCCATCTCTATCACTGAACAGCATCCGCTCACCACCTGATGGACGGCTGACCTGGCTCTATTCTTTGGCTGTTTTGAATAATGCTTTGAATGTTAGCTAGCCAGTCTCTGCAGGATGTGTGGCCTCACTTCCTTTGGGTAGAGTCTTGGACGAGGGATCGCTGGGTGACAGGGTGAAGCTATGTTTAACTCTCTAAGGAGCTGCCCACCTTCTCCACAGTGGCTGCGCCATTGTGCCTGCCTACCCCAGGGGCCCCTTCCTGCACGCATCGCAACACTTGAGTCGTCCGTCTATCATTATTCCTTCCTGGGAGCAGGTAGTCAGTGATTTAGGGGTTAACCACTGCCTTTTTAAGGAAAACAAAGAAGGTAAAAGTGAAAAGATGAATGAGGAAAGTCTTCAATTTACCTGGACAGGATTTAACAGGATCCTAAATTCTCCCAACATTCCTTCCCCTGTGTTAGTTCCACTGCGCGAGCTGGCTAGGACTGTTAATGGGGTCCACTGCTTTCCGAGCTTAGAAGCTAGCTTAAAAATGAGAGCAAAGGGTTAAAACCCCACATGGCCAGCGCCCGGCCTTTCATTCCTTGCTAACAACAGAGCTGGTACTATCCACACAACAAAAAGAATTCTACAAATGGCAGGGGACTTGAGAGGTTAATTTGCCCTTCCACTTAGTGTCTAATTATCTTGTTCACCACGCTAGTCAATTCGCCCAGCATATACTCTGGTAGGTAAGAAGGAATTCACTAAGAAGGTACCCATTCCACTGCTAAATCAGATTATTAGAAAGCTTTGACTGAAAGTGCATTGAAAATTTGTCTCTTATTAACTATCATGCACTGTTCTGATTCTGCTTACTGAATCAACTAGGAAGATGTGTTCTTCCGTGTAACTGCTCTGCTCACACACCCAGTATTTCACCTTGTACTAGTCTTGTGCACTAGGAAATACTCGTCAAGTTCTTTGCACTTTTCTCAGACTGTATACTGATTTTCTCAGATCTCTTACCTTGATTTTCCTTTTCTGGATGTATTCTGAAATATTTAATTTGCAAATTTTTAAAAAATAGACTAAAAAATCCTGATTTGTAATAGCCTTAAGTATAATGTAATTAATGCTTATCATAATTTTTTAAAATTTATTTGAAAGAGTTACAAAGAAAGAGGGAGAGAGAGATCTTCCATCCACTAATTCACAAGTAGCCACAATGGCCAGGTCTGAGCCAGGAGCTTTATCCGGGTCTCCCACATGGGTGGCAGGGGCCCAAGCACTTGGGCCATCCTCTGCTGCCTTCCCAGGCTATTAGCAGGGAACTGGGTCACACGTGGAGAAGCTGGGGGGCTGGCGCCTTGGCGCAGGTTAATCCTTCACCTGCAGCACCAAATGGGCATCCCATATGGGCGCTGATTCTAGTCCCAGCTGCTCCACTTCTGATCCAGCTCTCTGCCATGGCCTGGGAAGGCAGTAGAAGATGGCCCAAGTCCTTGGGCCCCTGCACCCGCGTGGGAGACCAGGAAGAAGCACCTGGTTCCTGGTGCAGCTCTGGCAGTTGGCAACCATTTGGGGAGTGAACCAATGGATGGAAGACCTTTCTCTCTGTCTCTCCCTCTCACTGTCTGTAACTTTACCTCTCAAATAAATAAATAAAATCTTAAAAAAAAAAAAAACAAGTAGTACAGCTGGGACTCGAACTGGCGCCCATATGAGATGCCAGTCCTGCAGGTGGCAACTTTATCTGCTGTGCCACAACATCGGCTCCTGATTGTCACAATCTAATCTTTTCTTCCCTCTTCCCCTCTCCTTACAGATAAAACCATTAACTAAGCTATACCATAGTTGTACTTAGTGATTTCAGACTTAATTCAATAAGGACTTTTACAGTGGAAAAATACTTGTATGCATTGACATGAATGCTTGACATCGAACAGATTAAAATCTCATTCTGAAAAAGGTATTTAATTTTAGCCAGCGCTGCGGCTCACTAGGCTAATCCTCCACCTAGCGGCGCCAGCACACCGGGTTCTAGTCCCGGTCGGGGAGCCGGATTCTGTCCTGGTTGCCCCTCTTCCAGGCCAGCTCTCTGCTGTGGCCAGGGAGTGCAGTGGAGGATGGCCCAAGTGATTGGGCCCTGCACCCCATGGAAGACCAGGATAAGTACCTGGCTCCTGCCATCGGATCAGCGTGGTGTGCCGGCCGCAGCGCGCAGGCCGCGGCGGCCATTGGAGGGTGAACCAACGGCAAAGGAAGACCTTTCTCTCTGTCTCTCTCTTTCACTGTCCACTCTGCCTGTCAAAAAGAAAAAAAAAAAAAAGAAAGGTATTTAATTTTAAAAGTTAAAATATCTTGATTTAAATCTGTACTCTTTCATAGTCATTCCTTGAGAGCTACATAAAGACAGTGCACTATAGTTATGCCAATTTTTGATAACATACATACACAATGCACTTTGATGTCCAACATTATTTTTGGCAGCATCTAATGTTCAATGTAAACATATTTAAAGGGACCCTATGTAAAGTCGCAAATGGAAAACGTGTTTTAGAACAAGAAGGAAATCCAATTTTTTATACTGATAATTATAAACCCCAAAACTGGCTGTTCAGCAGAATCAGCTGAAGACCTTAAAAATAATACAGATTCCTGGAACCTAACCGTGGCTATGGAGGTGGGCTCATGAACCTGTTTTTAGAAAGCTCTGTGGGACCCAGACACGGTTCGTCAGGACCGCCAGTGCCACACCTGCCGTTTCCCTACAGACAGGAAAGCTCTCGGGAGCCCAAGTCGGGGCCCAGTCACTGGGAACCAGCAGGGGTTTCCGGCTCTGCACAATTTATGGCATGTTATCTCCCCCACACCCCACCTCAAAATCTTCATTTAATTTTATTTTATCTCTGGGCCTAATTCTTATACAGCCTTAATAGAGTTAAAACAATTTTTTTTTTTTTTTTTGACAGGCAGAGTGGACAGTGAGAGAGAGAGACCGAGAGAAAGGTCTTCCTTTGCTGTTGGTTCACCCTCCAATGGCTGCCGCGGCTGGCGCACTGCGGCCGGCGCACCGCGCTGATCCAATGGCAGGAGCCAGGAGCCAGGTGCTTTTCCTGGTCTCCCATGGGGTGCAGGGCCCAAGCACCTGGGCCATCCTCCACTGCACTCCCGGGCCACAGCAGAGAGCTGGCCTGGAAGAGGGGCAACCGGGACAGAATCCGGCGCCCCAACCGGGACTAGAACCCGGTGTGCCGGCGCCGCTAGGCGGAGGATTAGCCTAGTGAGCCGTGGCGCCGGCCAAGTTAAAACAATTTTTAAAAATCGATTCTAAACCCCCGTTACCGCCTCATAATCTTTCGTCTTCGCACATCTGAGCAGTGCAGGCTAAGTAACGTGGTGGGGTGATGGGGTTTCCAAGCTCTCCACGACGCCGGTTCCGTTCCTTACGCTGGTTTTCATGCGTTCAGTGCGGACTGTTTTCTGACACCAAGTGCACCTGAGAAAAGGAAGGAACAAACACCTTCACTAATTTTAAACTAGTTTTACTGATCCACAAACCAACCATTTTTGTCAAAAAAAAAAAAAAAACAGTGCAATAGAGGACAATCATCCCGGGGCTGGAAGAGGGCATGGCAGCAGGGAGGAATGGCTTTAATTAAATGAATAACAAAACCAAGAGGACCCTCTCCTGTGGCAGTCAGCCCTCTTGGGCATCCATTTGACGGTTTCCTCCTTTGCGTGTTCAGATTTATCAACTAATTGCTGCTGTTTACACAGAGCTAAAAAGTTTTGGGGGCAGGCATTGTGGCGTACCGGGGCAGGCTCTCTGCCAATGCAGCTAGGAAAGCAGCCGAAAGTGGTTCAAGTCCCTGGGCCCCTGCACCCACGCAGAAGACCCAGCTGATGTCCCTGGTTGTGGCCCGGCCTAGTCCTGGCTGTTGGGGCCACCTGGGGAGTGAAACAGTGAACAGAAGATATCTCTGCCTCCCCTCTAATTCTGACATTCAAATAAATAAATACGTCTTCTCTAAAAAAAAGGACTGAACCTAAGAGCGTGTATTTTCCGAAGGTTCTTGTCGTCTGTCGGATGTGCTCGGTGACCAGCACATCTGCTGCCTGCTGATCCTGCTGGTTTGCGCTTCAAGCTTTCCCTTGATAACTTGGGGAAAAGGTATCATTCTTGCTTCAATTTGGAGGCCTTTAACCAGTAGGTGAAACTACATTTTCCCCCTTCTATTATGAATTCATTTCTGGCCTACAACCGCGTGTACTTTTACTTACTGAGGATATCACCCTTTCAGTCACATTCATCGTAAATATGCTTCCGTTTCCTTTTAAACTTACTTCTTAATCTACTGAAGCTTATTTTTCTCACATACAGACCTCCACTTCCTTTTGCAGTTTACAGGCGTATGATTTTCTCTAAAGCCAATGACCTGCTCACAACAGCGCTCTGCTGAACTACATGTAAAGTTGGGACTCACTAGAACAGGGTAGCAAACTACAAATAGGCCTGCCATCTGATTTAGTGAAGACGCACTGGAACACGGCTAGCCCGTTCATTTGTGTGTTGGCTATGGCTGGATTCGTACTGTAACTGGCAGAGAGATTACACCAGATCCAGCGGCCCTCAAGGCATAAAATATTTACTTTTGGCTCTCAACGATAAGTTCGCATGTCTCCTTTAGAAGGTAATTTGGTATCTTTCATTGTTTAAGGTGATGAATTAAATGAATGAACACACACCAAAAATACAGAAACAAAGCAGCTGGTACAAGTGTCTTCTAAGAGGCAGAGGCTTTATTTAACCTGTGAGTGAGTGTGCGTGAGTGTTTCTAGAGTTAAATGAAAAGGTCTTATAAATAAAAGTTTTTTCTTAATGCTAAAAGAAGCAGCAAAGCCTTCTTTTTATAAGACACAAAAATACAGCAGTGCTTCTCCGGCAGGGTGTGTTACAACAACAGCTGCTGGGGGCTGGTGCTGTGGCATAGCAGGTAAAGATGGGCACCCGAGGGGAGTCCCGGCTGCTCCATTTCTGATCCAGCTCCCTGCTAACGCACCTGGAAAAGCAGCGGAAGATGACCCACGCACTTGGGCCCCTGCCACTGACATGGGAGACCCGGAAGAAGCTCCTGGCCTCAGCCTGGCCATCGCAGCCATTTGGGGAGGGAACCAGCAGATGGAAGACCTCTCTCTGTCTCTGTAACTCTGCCTTTCAAATAAAGACTGTTGAGTCCTAGTGCAAGCTTCTGATTCAGTATGTCTAGGTGGCCAGAAAAGCAGCAGAGAATGCCCAGATAACGGAATTTCACATAAACAAATCCTTTTTTTGGTATATGTATATCCCAAGTATTACAGATATTTGATGTTTGTTCACTGACTGTCTGCAGCCCTACATTGCTTTTCCTGACAGATCTGAAGTGGTGCTGATGCTGCCGATCTAGGGCCCCTCCTCTGAGAAGCCGAGGCACAGGATACGCTCTCACCCTGCAGAGGGCAGGGCAGGGTCCCTGGGGGAACGGGCACCCGACGCCATGACAGCGCTGTCAGAGAAAAGGAGGGGCAGTAAGAGGAAGCAGGACGCTTTCACAAAACAACAGCCAGTTTAGGTTTAGTGATGCCAATTCACGAAGCGTAGCATGGGTGGGGCGGAGGCCAGAGAGCCGGCAGGAGGCTGGCTTGGGAGTCTCCTCTGTCGGCCGGCCCTGTAAGTCACAGGGAGCAACTGAGAGCAGGCGCGTGGCCAGAGGGGCTTTACATCACCGGGGTGGAGGGTGGAGGACCAAGGCGCTAGGGTCACTCTTAGGGTATCTGTGAAGTCATCTTTATCTAACTCTGCACACACACAGAGAGCGGAAGGAGATCTAATAGTCAATCCATTACAAAACTTAATTAAGATCACTAGCAATGCAGCTCTCACCAATAAAAACAGAAGGAAGACAATCTAAATGTCAAAGATATCAAATAAAAATGGCTACAACACTGCCATTGTCCAACATATCATTTTGAAACTTCATTCTGAAGTCTAAATCTGATCATCTGTAAAATTATTTAAAACCAGGTTTGAGGGGAGCTGCTGTGCTGTGGTGCAGTGGGTTAAGCCCGCTGCGTGTGAGGCCCGCACCCATCCGGGAGCGCTAGTGCCAGTCCCAGCTGCTCTGCCCCCGCTCCAGCTCCCTGCAGCACAGGATAGCTCTAGTGCTGGGGACCCGGCCACCCACGTGGGAGACCAGGGTGGAATTCCAGGCGCCCAGCCCCAGCCATTGTGGCCCTGGGGGAGTGAGCCAGCAAACAGATCTCATTCTGCCTGTCTCTCCTTCCCTGTCACTGTGTCTTTCAAATGAGCAAATCTTAAAAATAATAAAAAACAAGATTTAAGAACATTTGGACATAACAGAGCTCATGCTAAACAAAAAGTTTTCTAGAAAAAAAAAAAAAGGTCGCTCCCCATCTAGTGCCAGCTTTCTATGCAGTTTTTTGGTTTTTTTGTTTGTTTGCTTGCTTGTTTGTTTGACAGCCAGAGTTAGAGAGAGACAGCGAGAAAGGTCTTCCTTCCATTGGTTCACCCCCCAAATGGCTGCTACGGCCGGCACTGCGCTGATCCGAAGCCAGGAGCCAGGTGCTTCCTCCTGGTCTCCCATGCGAGTGCAGGGCCCAAGCACTTGGGCCATCCTCCACTGCCTTCCCGGGCCACAGCAGAGAGCTGGACTGGAAGAGGAGCAACCGGGACAGAATCTGGCGCCCCAACTGGGACTAGAACCCGGGGTGCCGGTGCCGGGAGATTAGCCTAGTGAGCCGCGGCGCCGGCCTCCATGCAGTTCTTGAACAAGTTTACGGGCCTTCCTAGGTGTCAGAAACGCAGCCCATCACAACGAGGCGTCCAGACCCCTACGGCGGCATCTTCTATTTCAGACGACAGCTAAGAACACACTCGTGTTGTCCGCCAGGTATGTAAAAGCCAGGAAGGCACCCTGGGCTTACTCACGGTCGCCTCCCTGAGACCCGTGTACGCTTGTCTGGCGACAGCAACCGCGCGAACAGAAGGAACCCACAGCGCTGCCCGGCCAGGTGCCCTGTTAGCTAGGACGCTGGGGACGAAAGTTCTCGGCCTGAAGGGTCAGAGGAGTGGTCACAGGTGAGCAGCGCAGGGACCCACAGCCGCTGCAGCGAAACCCGCCGCCCACGCGCCGCTCACCTGCGATCGCAGAGCCCGGGCTGCGGCCGCGCGGCCGCCGGGGGAGCAGCGCCTCCCTGCACGCCCGTCGGCCTCCCTGAGGCTCGCCTGGTCCGCGCGCAGCCCGCAGCGGTCGCAGAAGGCGCCCCGCAGGGTGTGCCGCGCGCACTCGCAGCAGGTGCGCAGGCCGAACAAGTCGGTGTCGCGCCCGGCGTGCGGGAGACGTCCCTGGGCGCAGCTGGCGGATTCGCAAGGCGACGGCCACGGGCAGCTGCACGGCGCACAGCGTCCACAGGGCCAGGCGCCGGCCGCCTCTCCACTTCCATCTTCTCTTCCAGGACGAGTCCACCCGGGCTCGCCTGCGCGCCGCCTCCTTCCCGCCTCCCAACGCCACCGCGGGCGCCGTCCGTCCGGGCGGCTCCGTTCCCCCACCGCCTCGCACGGCCGAGCCGAGGGTCGCGGGGGCCGCCCACCGCGCTCCGCCGCCCGCCCGGCCCTGCGAGGGCGCGCCACAGCCTCGCAGGCCGCCCTCCGCGGGGCAGGCCCAGCATCAGGGCCGCCGCGCCCAGCGCCCGGCACCGCCGGCTGGACCCGCACACATCCCACCGCGCGGCTCGCCGAGCCCCGGGAGACCCGCGCCCCGCCCACCGGCTCTCTGACCCTCAGCCCCACGGGCCCGGACCGCCGCAGGGCAGAACACTGGGCCCAAGGCCGGCGAAGCCGCGCGTGCTGGGTGGGGGGACCCGCGGCTGCGAGCCCCGTGCCTGGGCGGGGCGCGGCGGGGTCGTTGGAGGGGAGGGCGGTGGTTCGCCCTGGAGTCGGCGTTGAACCATCTCCTGTGGGTGATTGACGGCACGAGGGAGGCTTCCCGGGACTCGCCGCCCCGCCCTGATGGGGGTGGGCGCCGGCGCGGCTTTGAACCCCGGGATGCGGGAAACTGGCGGTTTTGGGATGGCCCAAGGCAAAAACGGATGAAAGTCGTTTGCCCGGTTGCTAGCTCCGAGCGTCCTTCGACACGTTCCCTGGAAAACGGAGCCGAAAGATGCGTTTGTTTTGGTGCAAAGGTTACTGGAATGCACGCATCCCTGGGGTGTCTGCAGAAGTTCACGGAAAATGCGTATTATGACAAAGCTGTGCTTGGGGCTTTAAAACTTTTCCAGGAAGGTGAAAAATCTCTCAATCCGGGTTTTCCGGCTTCCTGAAGTGCGCTTGTATTTACCATGCACGTACGGGCTGAACACCCGCTCTGTGCCCAGGCCCGGTCCCGCCAGCCCGCGGCTGCCCCCACGGGCCCAGGCCTCTGAGACAGCCGGATTGGTGTATCCGCTGGGCCCCATGCTCGCCCGCGGGCACGCTGTGTCATGCAGTAGATACCGACATCATGAGCACGCATTTCATCAGCTCAAGGTCATCCAAAGGACAGGGCAGGCTGTTGGCTTTGTGGTTGAACACCTGCTAGCACCTGGGTTCAATTCCCGGCTCTGGCTTCTGCATTGCACACTTGGGAGGCAGCAGGTGATGGCCTGAGTGGTTAGGTCCCTGCTACTCTTGTGGGAGTCCGGGACCAGATTCCCAGCTCCTAGCTCCAGCCCAGCCCAGCCCTCCGACGGCGTTACCTGGGGAGTAACCCAGCAGACGGGAGATCTGTCTCTGTCTTGAAAATAAATGAAAGCAAGCACGAATTTTGAAAATTAGAGGATATTTACCCAAATGAGTTGAAAATCATGTCTGGCTGGGGGTGGAGGAACATGGCTTTCCCTGGGCAGGGGGCCTGGCTGGCAGTGTCCAGCGAGAAGGCATCGGCTGGGAGCCAGCAGGCCAGGGTGCGGGGGCCTCGGCCTTTTTAGGAGCCTGGGGCTGAGTTCCTCAGGCCACCTGTCCGCTTCCTCCTTAGAACCCAGGTGACTAGGAGCGCTTCGAGGGGCTCCTGCGAGACTCACAGGAGCGTGGGGCGCACCTTGTGGGCGGGGTGGGGGCTGCTCAGCTGGTGCCCTGGACGCACCCACCCCCGCAAGCAAAGGCCGCCCTGGGGTGAGGCTCCTCTCCCGGGGGTGGCCGTGGAGAGCCCCCCCCCCCGTGTTTCTGCCTGGGTAAGCGGCTCACGCGGCCGCCTCCCTCCGCCTTCCCCGGCCAGCTGAGCACCTCTTGGCGCCGGGCACGGAGCTCCAGGGGGCCGCCAGCCCCTGGCCCCTCTTCCTGCACTTCAGCCCCGGCAAGAGCGGCGGCGCGGGGAGAAGAGCGCGGGTCTGGGGTCTGCGCGTGCGGAGCAGAATCCAGGGCGCTTCCAGCCGCTCGTCACTCACTCTACGCCCGGCTTTCGGTCCGTGAAACGGGCTCAGTGCAGTTCCTCCCTCACCGGATTATGCAGAGGCCACAAGAGTAACTTCAACAGGCAGGCCTGGCAGATGAGCGCTCTGTCGATATTTATTAAAAGCAAAAAAGATGGTTTTGTGTCTGAGCCAGGCCAGTCACTGGACAGTCGGTCTCTTTCCCAGTCCCGTGCCTCGGGGCTGTTGTGGCGTCTCCGTGCACCGTGCCTGGCCCTCGGGCTGGCTCCACCAGCGCCTCCTCGCGCCCTCCCTCTGCGCGTCGCCCGGTCCGGCTACCCTTCCCCTGACCCCCAGGAGCCGCGCCGCACGGCCTGTTTGCAGCCCAGGGCCGCACGGCGAAGCTTCCGGGAGCCTGCGCTGCCTGGACTTGGGAAAGGGCAGGAGCAGCTGCCTCTCCCGGGTGCAAGAGAAAAGTGGACGCGATGTCCCGGGTGCGTGCGCGTGCGCGCGTCCGCCCCGCAGGCCGCACGGAGCTCGCCGGGAGCGCCTGGAGCAGCCGCGGCCACCGCTGCGAGGGCCCGGCCCGCCGCCAGGGGGCAGTGTGTCTCCGCCGCAGGCGGCCCGGGCGGTCTGCTCAACGTTCGCACGGTTTGCGGCACCGCCCGCCCAACGTGAAGAACTAATTAAAGCATCTTTCTCCGTGGTAGAGAAGAAACCCAGACAACCGACAGAACCTGCCCGCTGCCTTTGCAGGAAGACGCAGAACGTGGCTCGGCCACCCCACCCCGGGCTTTCCCGGGCCGAAGGACCCAGGACCCAGCGGCCGAATTCCTCCCGTGGCAGCGCCGTGCGTGACTGCGTGTGCGCTCGCCCGGGCAGGGATCGCGGCGGCCTCTTCTCCGGAGGGGAATGCCCAGCCCCCATGCAGGCCCGCGCGGCTCTGCTGCGTGTGTGGCACCGGGCCGGACAGATGCTCCTCCTGCTGCGTGCAAATATACGAAGAAGAGAAACCTCCTGGGCCGCGGGCACCAGCTCAGTTCTTCCTGTGCGTGACCCAACACGCGCTCCCCTCAGCCCCCTACAACGGCCACGTTCTTGTCTCTGTTCCCAGTGGGGTCGCGGGATACAGGAGCACGCAGACCTGACTGGGTGGGGGGCTCCCGGCGACAGGCTTGGCTACAGGGACAAGGGAGGAAGAGGGAGCCGAGAGACTGCCGGGGTTTGAGTCTGAGCAAGGGTCCGTGCAGCTCGTGTTCAGTTTTGGACACGCGGAGTTTGGGGTCCTGGAGCGGTGTCCCCGGGAGGGGTGGCATGCAGCACACAGCCTGGGCTGGTGGATGGTACTGCAAGTCCCCCAGCAGATGTGGTGGCGGCTCTGGGGAGCAGGTCACAGAGAGAGTGGGTGGGTGGCATCACAGACCTGGGGCATAAGTGGGGGTGGGGGCGGGGTCCCTTGTGGGTGGTTCCTTGGGGGACAGTTTGGCATCCGTCAGGCTAACCAGGCTTAGGCGGCAAACCATTTTCTGCACTTCCGTGTTTTTGGCAGAGCAGTGACATAGGGCCTTGAAACTGCAGCCGCGAGCCGGGTCCTCACGGTCTTGTCTGCTTGGGCACTGGCTCAGCCACGTCGAGGTCAACATCTCATGGGTCCTTGCTGCTGTTCTTCTTAGCTTTGTTGAAATTCCTGCCACCCAATCCCACTGGAACAGGTGCACCCCTATTTCTTGGCCCACTGCAGAACTCCCCAGGAGCCTCTAGGCAAGGTTCCAGGAGGCGGGCTCTGGTACTGAATGGCTTGGTCCCAGCAGGCCGTATGAGCTGCTTTGGCGAGAGTGCTTAAGAGCTGAGAGTTTATTTATTTTCAGCTACCTTGAAAGGTAGAGTGAGGTGGTGTGTGTGTATGTGTGGGGGGAGATGTCTTCCATCTTCTGGTTCACTCTAACTGCTTGCAACAGCTGAGGCTGGGCCAGGCTGAAGCCAGGAGCCAGGAACTCCATCCGGGTCTCCAACATGGGAGGCAGGGACCCAAGGACTAGAGCCATCACCTGCTGCCCCCCAGAACACACAGTAGGAAGAAGCCAGGAAGTGGAGCCAGGCGTCCCCAGCAGCGTTGCAGCTGCACCAGCCGGCTGCTCCTCCTTGCTCATTTGTTGAGACCCAGCTGTCTGGTCCCTCTGTCCATACGCCGGGCCTCTGCTCATCGCTGGGGTGGCTGCTTGCCACACTGACTCCTGAGTTCCCAGAGGGCGGAGGCTGAGCCGCCTCGGCTTTCTTGCCCACAATGCCTGCCACGGGACTGGCCTCCACTATGACCGACCGGCAATGTCTCTGAACAAACGAGTTCAGGGAGCTGAGGTTCCCTCTGGGGATACCGTCTTCCCTTAAAAAGGAGACAGCGAGGTAACGTGCTCAGCTTCTGAGCACAGAGGGGCCCCACGTGCCCAGCGTGGCTTCCCCTTTCCTACGGAGGAAGCAGCTAGTGTGGGCTGAGAGCAGAAGAGCTGTGACCGCCTGCAGCCAGAAGCTTGAGTGGACGCACGGCCCGGGTGCAGAACCTCTGCAGGGGACAAGAGACAAAGGGAGCAGGGCACGGTGGCTGTTCTGGACACCTCAAGAATTCAAACACATATGCATCTTCCTGACCACACTGTGGCCCTAACGAGGTTTTTAGTAAGTGCTTTAAAAAAGGCAAGGGGCCGACGCTGTGGTGTAGCAGGTAAAGCCACTGCCTGCAGTGCCTGTAACCCATATGGGCACCGGTTCAAGGCCCTGCTGCTCCACTTCCAATCTAGTTCCCTGCTAATGAGCCTGGGAAGGCAGTGGAGGATGGCCCAAGTACTTGGGCCCCTGCACCCACATGGGAGACTGGGAAGAAGCTCCTGGCTCCTGGCTTTGGCCTAGCACAGCTCTGGCTGTTGTGGCCATTGGGGAGTGAACCAGCAGATGGAAGATACTTCTTTTTCTCTCCCTCCCTCCAACTGCCTTTCAATTTTTTTTTTAAACTGCAAACATATTAAAATAATCCCACATTACATTGTGAAAGTTCCACTTATCATTAGCCAACAAAATGTGAGCGATTCAAACAGAGGACTTGGGGCAGTAACTGCACTTGAGAGGACGTGGGCGGGGCTGCCCAAGCACAGGGAGCCCTAGGCATACAGGGGAGGAGCCTGTCCCCCTGCAGCCTGCCTTGGGGCTGCGGGCCAAGAGGATCACTGCGTGGGGTGCCACCGCTGACCAACCCTCCAGCGCTCCACCCCACCTGCATGCCTCACCTGCAACCAGGCCCGTGCAGGTTGCCAGTGGGGACAGTGGCTGCGTCTTTGTGGAGCTGAGGGAACAGGGAGGTGGGAGCCAGAAGACGCCAGGGACACAGACAGGTTCAGTCTCTGAGCTGTCAGTTCTCTGCTCCCGGGTCTCCACACCTGGGGGGTTGGGATGGGACCCCCGCCTTCCCCCAGAGCGCTGCGCTTGCCTCCCTGCTGTGCGGCTCTGCTGTGTGGCCCTGCTGTGTGGCCAGCTTCAATCCTCTGACGCCAGACACTGGCACCCTTCCGAGGACAGCCCCGTCCTGTCCAGCGGCGCCAGGCTGGCCTCTCTGCAGTGGAGCAAGGCAGGCACGTAAGGGGACAGAGGAAACAGGGGAGGTGGCCACACTGGTGACACGCCCCTGTAGGGGAGAGGTGACAGAGGGGAGAGAACTGGGGGCCCCGGCACGGGCCTCGGACTGCTCCTCCACTCCAGACACTCGCATCACCCCCAAAGAAGGTGTCTCACCAAAATGATCTTTTAGCTTTGAGAGGTTCCGGAAATACATGGATCTTTCTCGTGGGAGTTAGGGGAGGAGGAGACCCAGAAACATCCTTACAAGAAATTAAAGAACTCCTCACGTCTTTGAGCCAAGTGAATTTACATTTTACTTTTAAAAAAGGGGTGGGGAGGGGAGTACATTACACAAGGAGGCAACTGGGGCAGGGAACAGTGGCCTGGACCCATTTCTGTGACTCCCCTGCCATGGCCGCCAAGGTCTGGGGGCGTCTCCCTCCCGTGGGCGGTGGGCGCTTACGACGTCACACAAAGCTGCAGGCAGGGCACTGCCGGGCGAGGCGGGTGGGGGATGTTATCATATACAATGCAGGGTTACAACACACAGCATCTTCTTTAAATGATGTAACGCAGGCGCAGGAAGAAGTTAACAATACTAACACGAGAATAATCAAATTTTTGTTATCCATGTACAGCAACTAACTGCTTTACAAAAAAGCAAAATAATACAATATATCATCACATGTATTTACAGTGTAGTAAATATACTTTTCTGTCAAATTTTACACAGATTATTTACAGGTGAATATACTGCATTTAAAAAAAAACTGGTGTGGCTGACGCTCAGTGTTTGTGTTCAGTCCATCGGGGAACACTGAGCAAGACACGCCTCGTACGCCTGGGGCCGGGGGTGCAGAAATAAAACCAAAAACTGAACAAAAGGCCAGCATGAAATTGAAAACCCTTAGGACCTACCCACGCAGCAGGGGGCTGGGCAGCGGCTGGCGCTGTGTCCCCTGCCGGGGCTGGGAGCTGACTGCTGGTCCATTCTGGATAGGTGACCACAGGACACAGCACGTGCCACTGTCCCCCAACACACCCTCTTGGTGTTGGTGCCCAAGGGCACCTTGCAGCAGGTACAGGTGCGTGTGACACCAATGTGGTGGCTTGCTGTTGTGTTTTTTTTCCAAGCTTGAGGGAGACGCCCACAACCCCCAACCAAGCGCTGATGGTGCTCTCGACGCCGCAGCAACGGGCCCCTTGCACCCAACTGCAGAATTTCCCTCGCAGATGAGGCGTGGGCACTGGAAACCGCGTTTCCTGTCTCAGGGGCGCAGGTCGGTGGGAGACACACGGGCCCGGGCAGCCCGACCCCGTCCCCGAGCTGCGAGTTCCTTGGCGGAGGCCGGCCCTGAGCCTCAGGAAGCTGGCGGTCCCCTGGCCGCTCCTGACCGTCTCAGGAGGTCCTCCGATGGCTTCCTTCCGCCCACCGCGCTAGCGGGAAGCCACACGCTGAAGACACCTCCCTCCTTGGTAAACTTGTGGGTGGAAATTTAGCATTAAATCTTTGGAAGTTTCTCTGTTTCGATGGGAGGAGCACAAGAGCGGACCCCCACCATTATATGCACCAAACCAACAACGAGGAAAGCGAGGAAAGCGGGGGAAGCGCAGGGATCCAGGGCTCCCGCCGGCTGCTCAGGGGCCGAGGAGCCGGCTGCGGCGGCGGCGCTGTCAGCCCAGAGGCGCGGGCGGCCGACACCGCCGCAGCGTGGCATCCTTGGCACTGGGTTGCCGGTCTATTTCTAACCTCAGTTCTAGGCTTCTGCTATTATAAACATTTTATTCTAATGTAGCCTCTAATAGTTAAAAACAAACGTTTATTTAATTGCACCTGTCTTAAGTATTTTCCAACAATCCTATGTTAAAATCACTATGAATACTAAGATTTTTTTTCCCTTTATTTTGGCAATGGTTCTTAACCTTTCCCAGGACTGTAAACAAATTAAAAAAATTAAATTCTTGTTATTTCTTAATAAAAAAGGCAATTTTATTTACATTAACATATTACATTGTTATTGTGTGGATAAATGTGAAATGTTATATTATTAGAATCAGAACACTTAAATGTACCATTATTTATTGAATTAGCTGTGGAATTTAATTTACTGAAATCCACTACTGAACAGCACTACATGAAACTCCCCTCTCCCCTAAGTTTTCCCCCTCCCAAAGCCATTATATCATAACATATAAAGGGGACCTGGGAGTGGGGGTAGTATCTTTTCATAATAAATATGGTTCAATCCTAAACTGGAGCATCAGGTACTAATATGCTCACTGAGCTCAGACTATTTTGCACACCGCAGGTACCACAGGGAAACAGGATCTGCATTACCATGGCGATTCCCACACCGTGGTGAGCCACACCTCAGGATAGCAGCAACGCCAGCGGCCCCCTGTCACGCTCTTGCAGGCTGGTCAGGCTTTTCACAGTGAATAAATGCAATTCTATCACATAGAACCCAAATGTTTTGACAGAGAGATTCCTTTTTTTTTTTTTTTAAGAGGAGAGGGGCAAGATTAAAAGATATTTAAAATACATCTTATCAAAAAATTTGATAATATACACCATTCTCTATGTTTCTTAGGAAATTATTTAACAAAATTAACATATCAGCTACCCTAGAAGTCACGTACCATTCTGTTTTGCCATGGAGCTAACGCGAAATCCATGAAAGTTACCTTCTGGGAAGAATCTCCGAGACTTTGTTCACTGATTTACCCTGCGCACAATTATTTGGGAACAAGGAGGAGGAGGGGAAAGACGTGTAATTACTATACTTAGTATAGTTTTGGCTTACAAACAAAAAAACCTTCAGCATATTTAAAGATTAAAAGATAATCAAATGGAAAAAAAAGAGTTTGGATGACTGAGATTGGCTAAGGCCTCAGAACCCAGAGCTTTGATTCGGCGATGCTAATGTCGGTGTGGTCACGCTTACTCTCCTGTAATTATTGCTAATACTCAAGTGTTAGTATTGAAGAGTCTACTGCAGAACGTTAGCCCCGCCCCACCCTGCCCCGCCCCCACAGTGCCTGGCCCGGGGCTTGGTGCTGTGAAGTCACTGAGGCCTGACCCTACGTTCCTTCGGTTTCGTAAGGTAAAAAAAAGTCCACAGCTAAAAGACTAAATGTACTGGGGCTATAATATTTTTTCTCCTGTAAACGTCTATCTTGAAAAGTGTGTGAATAAAACTAAGACTCTGACTTGGTAGGACGAAGAGGGGGAGCCCAGGGCGGAGCTCCGTGTGCACGGCTGTCCTCGCCGGCCGGCTGTGCGGCTTCCCGCGTCCACTGCTCACTGTTCCAGTCTCCTGACCCCCCACTGTCCTTGCAGTTGTTCTCAACGCTTGCTTATACCGGATAGACGCCAAAAGTACAAAGAAAAATGGAAGGAGAAAGCAGCATTAAATTTAGGCAGCGCTTCCGAGAGTTGATGGTCTGGCCACGTGGCAGACCGGACGGCTCTCTGACGAACAGGAGGTGTAGCATCAGGACCTGTGGGGGTGGGGCGAGGCTGGGGGCGGGGCACCCGGGAGCCCGCGCGAGGCGGAGGCCGAGGAGGCCGGTCTGAGCTGAGAGAGCAGCAGGCTTCACACGATCTTCTTGATGCTATTCCGTTTGAAACTGCCAGCGCTTCTCTGCTTCTGCACTTGGCTTGCGGATCCGTGGCGCGTGCGTCCACTGTTACAGTGGCCGGTGGTGGGGGAGAGTTCCACGTTCTCCTTGTCCAGTCCTGGGGAGAGACAAGGCAGCCAGTTACGGCTCCACCTCACTGGATCTGAGACCCCCCGGAGAGCTGCTGCTGCAAACTCATCTGCACAGCGCCTGCGAGGCCTGCTCACACACAGACCCGCACCTTCCCTCTGCACCCGAGCTGTGCCAGCAGAGCAACAGCGAGAGAAAAGGCACGCGGCGGGGCAAAGCCAGGGGCGCACAGGCTTGGGCCGCGCCAAGGCCAGCCGCAGGAGCGCCTTTCTGCAGACCCCCCGACACTGTGCGCAGGGCCGACCTCCGGCCCCCACGCCCGCACCCACGTTCACAGCAGAACCCCCCTGCAAGTGCAGAGCTCTGGACCGCTCCACAACGGGTCACTCAGAGCAGGCCAGGTGCCTGCTCCGTCTGCTTTGAGTCAGGGCACACTGGGCGATGTCTGTTTCAACTGTGGCAGCTCCTGCACACTGTCCAGCCTCGCACGTGTGCCATTCCTCTCTCAGGGAGGAGTTCTACCTCCACATGCTGGGGCCCACAAGGAATTTTGGTAATCATCTAAGTAGTAACTTCACAAAAGTAACTAGAGACAAAATGAAATCCCATAGGGCTGGCACTGTGCCGCAGCAGGTAGAGCTGCCGCCTGCAACACTGGCATCCCATATGGGCGCTGGTTCCAATCCAGCTCCCTGCTAATGCACCTGGGAAAAGCAGCGGAAGATGGCCAGAGTGCTTGGGACCCTGCCACCCAAGTGGGAGTCCTGGATGAAGCTCCTCGCTGTGGCCTGGCCCAGCCCTGGCTGTTGTGGCCATCTGGGGAGTGAATAAACAGATAGAAGATCTTTTTCTCTGTAACTCTTTCAAAATAAATAAACGCATCTTACAAAAAAATCATCAGGGGCAGCACTGTGGAGCAGCAGGTTAAGCTGCTGCCGGCATCCCTTATCACAGTGCCAGTTCAAATCCCAGTTGCTCCACTTCCTTTCCAGCTCCCTGTTAGTGTACCTGGGAAGGCAGTGGAAGACAGTCCATGTATTTGGGCTCTTGCCACCCACATGGGAGACTGGGATGGAGTTCTGGCCATCTGAACCAGTGGGTGGAAGCGCTCTCTCTCTCTCTCTGTATATATTGCTCTCTATCATTCTGCCTTTCAAATAAAATAATTTTAAAAGAATCAATAGGTAAATAAAGATGACAGATCAGACAGGTAGCTTCCCTGGGCCAGCAGGACTGCAGGGGTGGGCTGAGCGTGGCTTCTGAGCGTGCTGCCCTGGCCACGTTCTGTTTCTTGTCTGAGTGCTAGATTTTTGAGTGTGTTTACCTCTAAGTTCCCTAATCTGCAAGTTTGTGATCTGTGTACTTTTCTGTTACACTTCAACAAAATCTTCCTCCAAATGAGACTGATTAAACCCACTTCTGGCAAAGCTACTGGTGGGAAAGCAAATGCTGGTGGCATTTTTGGTAGTTTGCATCAGAACATAAAGCACTGATGGATGTTTATCGGTCAAGGAAGATGACCACCATTTTTGGAAGAGGAAAACAAAATGCCCACGTGGGGGGAAAAGGCTGGGAAAACATTTGCCAAAATATGTTCTCTCTATGTACTATGATTTCAGGAGGCAGTATTTTTTATTTTTATTTTTATTTTTTTTTTATTTTAATTTCTTTTCTATTCTATTCTATTCTATTCTATTCTATTCTATTCTATTCTATTCTATTCTATTCTATTCTATTCTTATCTGTATCATTTAAATTTTAAATTCACTGAATTCCAGAGCAGAAAGACTTCTATTTTGGGTCAAAAAGTGGCATTTCAGGTCAAGAAGGGTTCATTACATTAGAAAAACACGCGCAGATCTGCACAGCCACTGGCTGGCACAGGAACGGAAATGAATTGGGGATTACCCCCTTTTGGAGCCATGCAGCCTTCCTCTGGAGTTGGCCCTGAATTAATTCAGAGGGTCAGGCATCCAGGTGGCCTGACTGACAGACTCAGCAGAGGTGGCCACTACGCGGGTATCAGAGGCACGGGGCCCCTGGTCAGGGTTTATGAAAAGGTGCACTGGGGAAGATGTCCCCACTGCCTCTCCGGAAGCCCAGGATGGCTGACCCGGCATCAACACTCCAACCTGCAGAAAGACGAAGAGGGGAAACCTTGCCCTCTCCTCTGAGAATTTTTGCTCTTTTCTATACATTATTCACTTCTCCACAGTTTTTTGTTTGTTTGTTTGTTTTTACAGGGAGAGTTAGACAGTGAGAGAGAGAGACAGAGAGAAAGGTCTTCCTTTGCCGTTGGTTCACCCCTGAAATGGCTACTATGGCCGGCGTGCTGCGCCAACCCGAAGCCAGAAGCCAGGTGCTTATCCTGGTCTCCCATGCGGGTGCAGGGCCCAAGGACTTGGGCCATCCTCCACTGCACTCCCGGGCCACAGCAGAGAGCTGGCCTGGAAGAGGAGCAACCGGGACAGAATCCGGTGCCCCAACCTGGACTAGAACCCGGGGTGCCGGTGCCGCAGGTGGAGGATTAGCCCAGTGAGGCACAGCGCTGGCCATCCACAGCTATTTTAAAAAACAGAATTGAAAGAGACTCAATCTCTTGAATATGCCTTGAACTTCCTTATGATGTGTGTTTGCACAGGCTTCTTAAATTCAACCTGCGTTTTTATTATCTCTTACTTCCTTTGTGATTCATCCTCTGTCTCCTGCCAAGTCTACTTTTCCCTCCTGGCTTTAACATTTGTCAAGTTCCGTCTGTATTAGCACAACTTACACATACGTCTTATTTTCCCTAGTAGAAGTAAAAGCACCTGGAGGGGTAACGGTGACTTGTTACTCATTTTCCCATAAAATCTAATTAATTGTTTTCAATAAATAATTATTGAATATTTATATATATTTATATATTTGTTTTCAATAAATAAATTGGTTGAACTGACAGCTTCCATCTTAAAAGGTGACAGCCGGGCCCCTGGAATTCCGAGCTCCTGATCTCCAGGTGGCAGTACCATGCTGTGAGTACACACACAAACTTCTTTCTCCCTTTGATTCCTTCCTCGGAAACTATTAAGAATTTGTCAGTGTATCAGACCTTCCATTCCCTACAATCCGTATGTGGCATAAGCTTAAGTCTAACGGCGTCTTATCTGGGGTAATTTCCTTTATAGGAAGTAAGACTGTGGCAAAACTAAGGACGTAAAGACACAGACTTAAAACTACTTGGAGCAGTGATGAAGAGGCTGCTTGGGATCTCCTCCGGCTTCAAGTCCCAGCCCTGCTTCCCGCTACCGCTTCCTGCTAACAGGCACCTGCAAAGCAGCAGGCGATGGCTCAGGTATCGGGGTCCCTGCCAATCACAAGGGAGACCCAGCCCTGGCTGTTTACATTCCAGGCACGAATTAGCAGACGGAAGATATTTCTGCCTTTCAAATAAAAGGAAAATTTATTAAAATTTTGAAAAGCTTAGGAATAAGAAACCAAAGTCTCAAAAAGAAAAAAACCTAAAACATTACTTGGAGTTGGCCATCATGAGGGGCCCCCAGCCTGGACAAGCACCAGGGAGGCCCTGCAGCTCGCAGCCAGCCATCTGCCCCTGGGGCTTTCTTGTCTGCCTGTCTGTGAAGTGGCCTTGCTGCTTCTAGTCTACAGCTCACCCAGGGGGAAGAACAGTCCTTACACTGCAAGGTGGCAATGCTTCTGTCTGGGGACAAGGGCCTGCTCAGTGGTATTTTGTTCTCTTTTAAGATTTATTTATTTGAAAATCAGAGTTAGAGAGACAGAGGAGAGAAGAGGGAGGGAGAAGGGAAGGAGAGGGGGAGAGGGAGAGAGGGAGGAAGGTAGAAGGGGAGAGGGAGAGGGAGAGAGACAGGTAGAGAGAGAATCTTCCATGGTTGGTTCATTCTCCAGATGGCTGCAATGGCAAGGGCTGGACTAGGATGAAGCCATGAGACAGGAGTTTCATCTGGGTCTCCTACATAGTTGACAGGGGTTCAAGCACTTGGGTCATCTTCCTCTGCCTTTCCTGGGTTAGTGAGCAGGGAGCTAGATCAGAAGTGGAGAGGCTGGGACATGAATCAGTGCCCGTATAGGTTCCCAGTTTCACAGTCGATGGTTTAACCTGCTACATCATAACGTCAGCCACCTCAGCGGTATTCTTGAGAAATAAAATTACAAATAAATTGGAGCGGGTGTAGTGGTTGAGACATTGGTTGGGATGCCTGCATCTCATATCAGAGTGACTGGGTTCCAGTCCAGGCTGTGCTGAGTCCAGCTTCCTGCTAATGTGCACCCTGGGAGCCAGCAGGTGATGGCCCAAGTGCTGGGTTCCTGCCACTCATACAGGAGGTCTGGACTCAGTTTCTGGCTCCTGGGGCTTCAGCACAGCCCAGCACAGTCCAGCACAGCCCAGCACAGCCCAACTCTGATTGTTTTGAACATTTGGGGAGTGAATCAGCAGATGGAAGCTCTCTCTGCCTTTAGAGTGAAAGAATAAACTAAAAGAAACTTGAGGCTGGCGCCGCGGCTTAATAAGCTAATCCTCCGCCTGCAGTGCCAGCACCCAGGTTCTAGTCCCAGTCGGGGCGCCGGATTCTGTCCTAGTAGTTCCTCTTCCAGGCCAGCTCTCTGCTGTGGCCTGGGAAGGCAGTGGAGGATGGCCCAAGTGCTTGGGCCCTGCACCCACATGGGAGACCAGGATAAGTACCTGGCTCCTGGCTTCAGATCAGCGCGGTGCACCTGCCGCAGCACGCCGGCCATTGGGGAGTGAACCAACGGAAAAGGAAGACCTTTCTCTCTGTCTCTCTCTCTCATTGTCCACTCTGCCTGTCAAAAAATAAAAATAAAAAATAAAAAAAGAAACTTGAAAAATTAGAAAAATTGTAGTTATACAGACTGTAACTAGAGTGCTAGTCCTAAAAATATTTTACTCTCTGTTTTGTTATAGAAATACCTCCAAACTTCAAAATTTTAAAAGCCCTATTTGCCTCCTGTTAAGTGTTAAGGGTAAAAAGCAAATTACAGAGATGTTCA